CCAGTGTGTCACATCTCCTCTCACATGTGGGGCCATATTGTTCCTGAGTCTTACCTTCTTTAGTGATGGCATCTGCAGTCTCTTTGGCCTTGTCTTTAAGGTCCTTGACCACGCTGTCCATCTGGGACTCATGCTTCAGGAAGAAAGGACGGATGATGCGCTTGTAGAGCAGTTCAGCCCCATTAGAAGGGCTCGGGGCCATGCACCACAACAGGAAGCCACACTGCAGAATAAGAGCCAGCATGGGTAACAGGAGGGTGGAGGGGCACGTTCTGAGAATACACACTGTCTTTTACTATGGGGATGGGAAATGCCTCTGGTATTTTCTCCAAAGGCATTACCAGTGTTTTCTGCAGGTTAAAGGTGGGCTTTCTTTAACAACATGATGAGTAATGAGCTGGTAAGGAAAAGCTGAGACTAAAAAACAAAGGGTAAAACACACCAGGCCGGGCGCGGTGGCTCAAGCCTGTAATCCCAGCACTTTGGGAGGCCGAGACGGGCGGATCACAAGGTCAGGAGATCGAGACCATCCTGGCTAACATGGTGAAACCCCGTCTCTACTAAAAATACAAAAAAACTAGCCAGGCAAGGTGGCGGGCGCCTGTAGTCCCAGCTACTCGGGAGGCTGAGGCAGGAGAATGGCGTAAACCCGGGAGGCGGAGCTTGCAGTGAGCTGAGATCCGGCCACTGCACTCCAGCCTGGGCGACAGAGCGAGACTCCGTCTCAAAAAAAAACAAACAAACAAACAAAAAAACACCACGTCCAGGAGCTTAACTATCTTCCTAACTTGGACCACTTTTTAGTATATAGCTGTAAGAAGCTTTCATTAATCATAACTCTCAGAAATCAATTAAGAAAATATAGTACTTATCTGCATGCATAAAGCCCTATCCAGATAAGCCTAATATCTAGGAGGCTTGTGCTTGCTAGGCTTACCTTGGTAAATTTATCACATTTGTTCATCCTATTATAGAAAAAATACCTTGTCCATTCTTGAATTCTTCCTTTGGTGGAACCTCAGTTTTTGGGTAGATCTTTAGCCTTCAAGGAATCTTTACAGCTGTTCTTCATCTTTCATCTTAAATGTAGTTATTATTCCTAACTCCTTCTTTACAGCTCTACTTTGCCATTGAGATTTTTTTTTAAATTGACAAATTTCTGCCCTAATTACTTAAATAAGGATTTTTACACTATTTATGTCCAAAAATTTTTTACTGTTTATTCAAAAAATACCAACTTGCCACTTCAAGTCATCCATGCAATTTACTCCTTTTTAAGATAAAAAGGAAAAAAAAAAAAAAAAGAAGGGAATATTCAGAGTAATCTGCCCAATTCCCTAGAAAGTTTAATAAACAATATGCTGAGTTATTTTAGTTTAAAAGATTTTAACCACATTTTATTCCACACAGCCTAGGTGACTCTACAAAAAAAAACAGAAGTCACTTACAGAGAGATTCCAAATCAGTATTTTTTACATCTTCTCCTTAAAGTAAAAACATCTTAATTTATCATGCTTTAAATTTAAAAGGCTTAGTCCTTATGATTCCAAACCAAGGGATGTACTCTGATAATCAACAAGCTATGATGCCTTTCCAAGACAGTCTTTCAAATGTTTTAGAGATACAAAGCTGATAAAAGGCGAACACTAATGACAGAGTTTTAGTTTAAAATGCACAAATAGCTCACTCCAACAGCACCGTGTTGGCTCTGAGAAATTTATACTACACTGTGAACTTGTACTACACTCTGAACTTGTACTACACTCAAAATAAAAAACAAAACCCAAGTTCTCAACAAATTAATATCGCCAGATTATTATTTTTGAGAGTCTTGCTCTGTCACCCAGGCTGGAGTGCAGTGGTATGAACATGGCTTACTGCAGCCTTGAACTCCTGGGTTCAAACAGTTTTCCCACCCCAGCCTCCCAAGTAGCTGGCATGAACCACCAGGCCTGGCTAAATTTTTATAACTTTTTTTTTGTAGAGACCAAGTCTCACAATGTTGCCCAGGCTCCCCTTATCTCAACTACAGTAAAAAGTAACTCTTGAAATGTAACCTTTGTGAATTAAAATTTGTTACAGATGCACAAGTGTTTTTAAGACAGAGACTTACTGGGCATAGTGGCATGCACCTGTAGTTCCAGTGACTTGGGACACCAAGGTGCAAGGATTGCTTGAGCCTAGGAGTTGGAGACTGACATGGTTTGGTTGTGTCTCCACCCAAATCTCATCTTGTACTGTAGCTCCCATAATTCCCATGTGTTGTGGAAAGGACGAGGTGAGAGATAACTGAATCATGGGGGTGGTTTCCTGCCATGCTGTTTTCGTGGTAGTGAATAAGTCTCACGAGATCTGATAGTTTTACAAGGAGTTTCCCCTTTCACTTGGCTCTCATTCTCTCTTGCCTGCCACTGCCATGTAAGACATCCCTTCGCTTTTCCTTCATCTTCTACCACGATTGTGAGGCCTCCACAGCCATGTGGAACTGTGAGTCAATTAAACCTCTTTCCTTCATAAATTGCCCATTCTCAGGTATGTCTTTATTAGCAGCATGATAGCAGACTAATGCAGAGACCATCCTGGGCAACACAGCAAGAGCTCATCTCAAAAACAAAACAAAACCCAGAGACTATAGGACTAAATTTTTTATAAAACCCCAAAACTATAGCTATATGCTTAAGAAACATACCTACCACAAAACCAAATAGGAACACTGAAAATAAAGTTATGGGAAAGATATATCAGACAAACACCAACTCCCAGAATAGCTCATTAGTAATATTAATACATACAAATTGCTTAAGGCAAAATAAGTAAATAGAATAAGGAAAGCAATTCAGCAAGAATATTAAAATTCCTGAACTTGTATATACCTTTGAAATATGTAAATTATATATAGCTTTGTATGTTTGTAATATAATATTTTTATAATTATATATTTTATATATAGCTATAGATAGCTTTCAAATATGGCTTTAAAATATGTAAATGTAAGTCAGAATTATATAGACAAATGGACACAATCTGCAATCATAGATTTTAACATTTCCATCAGAAATTGATATACTAGCCAGGCTCACACCTGTAATCCCAGCACTTTGGGAGGCTGAGGTTGGAGGATCACTTGAGCCCAAGAGTTTTGAGACTAGCCTGTGTAACATAGGGAGACCCCATCTCTATGGGCAAAAAAAAAAAAAAAATTTTTTTTTTTTTAGATGGCGTCTTGCTCTCTCACCCAGGCTGGAGTTCCGTGGCACAATCTCAGCTCACTGCAACCTCCGCCTCCTGGATTTAAGCGATTCTCCTGTCTCAGCCTCCCGAGTAGCTGGGACTACAGACGCACACCACCATGCCTGGCTAATTTTTCTATTTCTAGTGGAGATAAGGTTTCACCATGTTGGTCAGGCTGGTCTTGAACTCCTGACCTCAAATGATCCGCCCCCATTGGCCTCCCAAAGTGCTGGGATTACAGGTGTGAGCCACTGCTCCCGGCCACAAAAAAAAAGAAAATAATTTAAAATTAGCCAGGCTTGGTAGCGTATGCCTGTGGTCCTCCTGGGAGGCTGAGGCAGGAGGGTGGCTTGAGCTTGGGAGGTCGAGACTGCTGTGAGATGTGATACCACTGCTGCAATCCAGACTTGGTGAGAGAGCAAGACCCTGTCTCAAAAAGACCAAAAGAAAAAAAAAATTGATATATAAAACAACCTAGAAATTAGTAAGAATACAGAATAAAGAACACAAAATTTAACTTTTTTTTTTTTTTTTTTTTTAAAGACAGGGTCTCACTTTGTTACCCAGGCAGGAGTGCAGGGGCACAAATACAGAACACTATAGCCTCAACTTCCTGGGCTCAAGTGATTCTCCCGCCTCAGCCCTCCAAGTAGCTGACACCACAGGCATGCAGGCACGCATCATCACGTCTGGCTAATTATTGTACTTTTTGTAGAGACAGGGTTTCGCCATGTTGGCCAGGCTGGTCTCAAACTCCTGACCTCAAGTGATCCACCTGCCTCGGCCTCCTAAAGTGCTGGGATTACAGGTGTGAGCCACTGCACCCGGCCTAAAATCTCACTCTAAAGATATATACAGATCTCTCAACCCAACAAACAGGGATTCAGGGATTCAAAGAGTTAGTATAGTATATAGAGAGTAACAGGATGGGCTCAAAGAAACTAATTTCCAATCCCGGTTCTGCCATTTACTAGCTAAGCAAACCTTGTGCAAGTTACTTAATCACTTAAGTCTGTTTTTTCCTCTATAAAATAGGTATTGGGAATTTAAAAATCTACCCCTATAATTTTGTAAGAAAAGAAAATTACTGAGCATAGCAAGGACTTTCTCTGACCCAAGAATACTGTGTTTTCTAACAGCATCTATGAAACATTACTAACAGGAGAGCATATTAGCTTTCAGTGGGGGAAAGCAAATCCTAGAACCAAAAACATTTCAGCAAATCTTTATTTTTATTTTTTATTTTTGAGACAGAGTCTCACTCTGTCACTCAGGCTGGACTCCAGTGGCGTAATCTTGGCTCACTGCAACCTCCGCCTCCTGGGTTCAAGCAGTTCTCCTGCCTCAGCCTCCCAAGTAGCTGGGATTACAGGCACGTGCCAACATGCCCGGCTAATTTTTTTAATTTTTAGTAGAGATGAGTTTTTGCCATGTTGGTCAGGCTGGTCTCGAACTCCTGGCCTCAGGAGATCTGCCCGCTTTGGCCTCCCAAAGTGCTGGGATTACAGGAGTGAGCCACCGCGCCTGGCCATAAGTAAATATTTTAGAAACTCTCCTTTTAGTACATGAAATGAAATTCAAATTTATGATATACTTAATTACAAAAAATATATAGTCTAACTGCAACATAAAGGAAAAACAAAATGAAAGTAATTTATAATATATATAAGTATGCAAACAAAACAATGCTAGAAGACATCATAAAGTACTTGTAAGTAGAATCACTGACAGTGGCAGCTATGAACAGAATCTTCCATATATTCCCATAGGTTAAGAATGTCTGAGGGGCCAGGCGGTGCCGGCAAGATGGCTGCACTTGAGAAGATGACATTTCCAGAGAAACCAAGCCACAAAAAGTACAGGGCCGCCCTGAAGAAGGAGAAACGAAAGAAATGTCGGCAGGAACTTGCTCGACTGAGAGACTCAGGACTCTCACAGGAGGAGGAGGAGGAGGACACTTTTATTGAAGAACAACAACTAGAAGAAGAGAAGCTATTGGAAAGAGAGAGGCAAAGATTACATGAGGAGTGGTTGCTGAGAGAGCAGAAGGCACAAGAAGAATTCAGAATAAAGAAGGAAAAGGAAGAGGCAGCTAAAAAATGGCAAGAACAAGAGAGAAAGTTAAAGGAACAATGGAAAGAACAGCAGAGGAAAGATAGAGAAGAGGAGGACCAGAAACGACAGAAGAAAAAAAAAGAGGAAGCTATGCAGAAGATGCTGGATCAGGCTGAAAATGAGTTAGAAAATGGTACCATATGGCAAAACCCTGAACCACCTGTGGATTTCAGAGTAATGGAGAAGGATCGAGCTAATTGTCCCTTTTACAGTAAAACAGGAGCTTGTAGATTTGGAGACAGATGTTCACGTAAACATAATTTCCCAACATCCAGTCCTACCCTTCTTATTAAGAGCATGTTTACAACGTTTGGAATGGAGCAGTGCAGGAGGGATGACTATGACCCTGACGCAAGCCTGGAGTATAGCGAGGAAGAAATCTACCAACAGTTCCTAGATTTCTATGAGGATGTGTTGCCCGAGTTCAAGAACGTGGGGAAGGTGATTCAGTTCAAGGTCAGCTGCAATTTAGAACCTCACCTGAGGGGCAATGTATATGTTCAGTACCAGTCGGAAGAAGAATGCCAAGCAGCCCTTTCTCTGTTTAATGGACGATGGTATGCAGGACGACAGCTGCAATGTGAATTCTGCCCAGTGACCCGGTGGAAAATGGCAATTTGTGGTTTATTTGAAATACAACAGTGTCCAAGAGGAAAACACTGCAACTTTCTTCATGTGTTCAGAAATCCCAACAATGAATTCTGGGAAGCTAACAGAGACATCCACTTGTCTCCAGATCAGACTGGCTCCTCCTTTGGCAAGAACTCCGAGAGGAGGGAGAGGATGCGCCACCACGACCACTACTCTAGCAGGCTGCGGGGAAGGAGAAACCCTAGTCCAGACCACTCCTACAAAAGAAATGGGGAATCTGAGAGGAAAAGGAGTAGTCACAGGGTGAAGAAATCTCACAAACACACATCAAAGAGTCGGGAGAAGCACAATTCACCAAGCAGAGGAAGAAACAGGCACCGCAGCCAGGGCCAGGGCCGCCGGAGCCAGAGCCGCAGGAGCCACCGCAGCCGGAGCCAAAGTTCCTCTAGGTCCCGAAGTCGTGGCAGGAGGAGGTCGGGTAATAGAGGCAGAACCGTTCAGAGCCCCAAATCCAAATAAACTAGTTTTGTTCTAAAAAAAAAAAAAAAAAAAAGAAAAGAAAAGAAAAAAAAAAAGACTAGGCCAGGCGCGGTGATCCTGTAATCCTGTAATCACCTGTAATCCTGGCACTTCAGGAGGCTGAGGAGGGTGGATCACTTGAGGTCAGGAGTTTGAGACCAGCCTGGCCAATATGGCGAAACCCTGTTTCTACTAAAAATACAAAAATTCGCCAGGTATGGTGGCAGGCGTCTGTAATCCAAGCTACTTGGGAGGCTGAGGCAGGAGAATCACTTGAATCTGGAAGGTGGAGGTTGCAGTGAGTCAACATCATGCCACTTCACTGCAGCCTGGGTGACAGAGTGAGACTCTGTCTCAAAAAACAGAATTTCTGAACTAGAGGAACTATACAGCCTGCTTTCCATATCAGAGCATTCAACCCAATGTGATTCACTGCCATAATCTCCATGTTATGATTTTAAGCCAGGCTTCTCTTCACCTTTCCTATTCCTTTCATTTAAAGACTCCAAAGCTTGTTTACTGAGCACAGATCTTGGAAAACAGGATCTTCAGACTTGGGAAAGCATGACAGTAGGTGATGGAAGGGTAAAGACTCAGACTAGCATCTAGTAGTCTCACTACACATGGATAGTAATGCTATGTGCATGAATGTGCAATCATGCAAAAACTCAAATCAGCCTCCTTCACACATACAATGGTAGACTAAGACCTTCTGTTAAAAGTCCAAGCACTCCAAGGAAGCCAGTGTCTTGAGGTACCCTCAGTATGTGCAAGTAGTTACATGTTACTCTTAGTTCTCCCAGCAACTCTGCTCTAGCATGCCCTAGGCTTAGCCAGCAGCAGATCTTACTGAATTGTAAGATGTTGCCAGAGGTTCAGAACTTTGGTTTTTTGAGATACGCATTTGCACTGACCCAAAATGGAGAATTAAATAACTGTGTTTTTCACTGGCATTAGCTTTGTTTCCTTGGCCTAGTGCCAGTTAATTACAGCAGACCCTGCAACACCACCTCTCTAGTTATTTCCCTGTGGAAGCCTTTTGGTTGTTTTGTTTTTTGTTTTGTTATTTTTTTTTTTTTTTTTGAGACGGAGTCTTGCTCTGTTGCCAGGCGGGAGTGCAGTGACGCGATCAGCTCACTGCAACCTCCGCCTCCGGGGTTCCAGCAATTCCCCTGCCTCAATCCCTCTACAGGTGCGTGCCACCACGCCCAGCTAATTTTTTGTATTTTAGTAGAGACAGCGTTTCACCATGTTGGCCAGGATGGTCTTGATCTCCTGACCTTGTGATCTACCCACCTTGGCCTCCCAAAATGCTTAGGATTACAGGCGTGAGCCACTGCACCCAGCTGCCTTTTGGTTTTTAATATCCAAAATTCATATAATGTTTTACTGTAGTTGCTTATATAGGAAAAGCTGTACATCCCCAAAATGCAATACAAGATGATGTACAGGAAATGTCTTGAGTAACATTTTTGACAGAATATCAGAATTCCTGGTGGACATTTTGAAGAATATGCGGAGCATCACAGGGGATGTGCTATGTATTCCTGCACACAAAGCAATTGTTTCTTACTATATTAACTATTTGGAGAGCAGCAAGTGTTTTTAGCATCTAACATCCTAACATGATATTTGTTATTTATATATAGGTATTCTGCTGTATTTTATTAATCCTTAGGGAATGCGTTGGGGAGTTTTACATTGACATGTAATATATTAAAATTTTTCCCACTTAACATAGTGGAAAATAAGCTCCTGCATAGAATGTACTCCTGCATAGAATATCTGATTTTCAGAAATGGATTATCGAGAGAGACAGATATCCATATTAAAACCAGAAGCATTAAGGTGAAGTGAAAATGACTCATTGGATTAAGACTCAGGAGAAGTGGGGCCGGGTGCAGTGGCTTATGCCTGTAATCCCAGCACTTTGGGAGGCCAAGGTAGGTGGATCACGACGTCAAGAGATTGAGACCATCCTGGCCAACATGGTGAAACCCTGTCTCTACTAAAATTAGAAAAATAGCCGAGCATGGTGGCGGGCGTCTGTAGTCCCAACCACTCAGGAGGCTGAGGCAGGAGAATCACTGGAACCCGGGAGGTGGAGGTTGCAGTGAGCCGAGATTGCACCACTCTGCTCCAACCTGGTGACACAGCCAGACTCTGTCTCAAAAAAGAAAAAAAAAGAAAAAGGAGAGGTGGGGTGTGTTTTATGACTTTAGGCAAATCAACCTAAGAGACAGTTTTCTCTTCTGCAGGGCTTTAGGAAAGTCACAAATTAATGTACTTGAAGAAAGTATACAATAGAATAGTAGTATTACCAAATCCTAAAGTTCTTATTGTGGAAAATCTCTGAAATATCACCTGCCTACATAGATACTAACTCTTCAGCAATCCAGACAAGCTGATTATCTTTTCTGGATGAATTAAGTCAAGTGTCCACAGTTTTGTACCTCTTCAATGTGATTACTTTGTAGGCTAGACTGCAGACTGTTAATTTACTACTTTCTGGTACTGGTACCCTCTAGCTATTGTCTTGAGACAGTAAAATAATTACTGCTGTCTAGGTACATCTTTAGCATATTCCAGTTCTGAAATGAAATCATTTTCTTATATTAAAAATAAAGTTAATTACTGTTCAACTCCCAAGGTGATATTCAGCTGCCACCTCTTACAACCCTCTCTTCTTAATCTATGTAACTATTCTACAGCCCAGGAATAGCCTGAGTTTGTTTATTTATTTTTTTTTTTTTTGAGACGGAGTCTCGCTCTGTCACCCAGGCTGGAGTGCAGTGGCACAATCTCGGCTCACTGCAAGCTCCGCTCCACCTCCCGGGTTCACGCCATTCTCCTGCCTCAGCTTCCCAAGTAGCTGGGACTACAGGCGCACGCCACCACGCCCGGCTAAGTTTTTGTAATTTTAGTAGAGACAGGGTTTCACCATGTTAGCCAGGATGGTCTCGAACTCCTGACCTCATGATCCACCCACCTCGGCCTCCCAAAGTGCTGGGATTACAGACGTGAGCCACCACACCCGGCCTAGCCTGAGTTTATTAAAATCACCCACAGAGATCTGGCTGTCTTTTCAGTCAAGCTGCCCTCAAAGTGCCAGCTGATGATACTCCCAAGGAGACCCACAAGCCCACTGCTGCCTGCAGTTCAGACAGAGTCCATGCTATTTTAACTGGACTCTTGGCACTATTAGCACTGACACAGTGACTCCTTAAATTACAAATTACAACAGGCCATTCTATTCCGTCTGTGCTTCTAATGCTGTCACCATCTGATTTTCCCCCAGAAAAGATACTTTCCAGGTAGGGGCATGCTTAACATGCAGTTAGGGAATGGAAAATTAATGTCAGAAGAAAATGTACTTCAACACTGACTTCCTGATAGGCTACAATGACTTGATCAGAAACATAAGTCTAAGAAGCCTTTGCAGTGTAGCCACAGAAGAGTTACGGGCTACGTTTAAAACACTGCTCAGCATGCACAAATAAAAGCTTAGAAAGGACGTGTTAAAGGAAAGATTTCCCTGTCTTTTTGGCCTCCTATGAAGATTAAGAAGAAAAATGTTGCCGGGCATGGTGGCTCACACCTGAAATCCTAGCACTTTGAGAGGCCGAGGTGGGTGGATCACCTGAGGTCAGGAGTTCCAGACCAGCCTGGCCAACATGGTGAAACCCTGACTCTATTAAAAATACAAAAATTAGCTGGGCGTGGTGGTGGGCGCCTGTAATCCCAGCTACTTGGGAGGCTGAAGCAGGAGAATGGCTTGAACCCAGGAGGCAGAGGTTGCAGTGAGCTGAGATCACGCCACTTCACTCCAGCCTGGGCAATATAGCAAAACTCCATCTCAAAAAAAAAAAAAAAAAATGTTGTATTCTCTGTCAATGGGTGAAATAGCACAGGTGACAATTCAGGTCAGGACCTAATCCTGCCAGAGTTTACTCAACCTTGTTCTAAAAATAAATCTAGTCGGGCCTGGTGGCTCACACCTGTAATCTCAACACTTTAGGAGGCTGAGGCAGGGAGATCACGAGGTCACGAGTTTGAGAGCAGCCTGGCCAATATGGTGAACCCCGTCTCTACTAAAAATACAAAAATTAGCCGGGTGTGGTTGTGCACACCTGTAGTCCTAGCTACTCGGGAGGCAGAGACAGGAGAATTGCCTGAACCTGGGAAACAGAGGTTGCAGTGAGCCGAGATCACGCCACTGCACTCCGGCCTGGTCCACAAAGCAAGACTCCATCTCAAAAAATACATATAAAAAAATAAATCTAGAAAATGATTTAAATGAAGGTAAACATAGGATACAAAGATATTAATTGCAGCGTTATGTATAATCACATGACAAATGTCCTAAATGTCTTTCAATTGGGAATGGGTAAATTATCAATAATAGATTAGACAGCTTGTCAAAGAATACTGAGTAACATGAGAAAATACTCATAATACTGTGTTAATTGAAAAAAGCAAGACAATTATATATGATCTCAACCACACATATGGTTAAGACAGCAATACATATATATACACACACACATATATACACACACAGTTCTGTTTGTATTTATACACATAGACGAATATATTTGCACATTTTAAAAAATGGGAAGACTAAGATGTAGGATTACAAATGTTATTTTCCTCCCTACATAAAACACTTCCCAACACACACACACACACACACACACTCACACAAAAATGTAAACAGTAGGATAACAAGGACTTTGTTTTATTCACCAAAGTATCTCCCAGATGTAGAACAGAATCTGACACATGGAGGTTCTAAATAAATATCTGCTAAATAAAGGAATAAGCATATATAAATTTCATAATCAAGAAAAAACAGCTTTTAAATTTATTTTTAAACCCTCTTGCTCAAGGCCAGATATCAAAGCAAAGCTCAGAACATGCATGATCCAATTTCTACCTAAGTACATCATATATTATCTTCTCAACTAAGCTTTGATGCCTAGCCATTGGCTCCTTTTATTTTCCTCCAATCTTATAAGCTGCTTTAGAAAAATAAAAATAAA